ACCTTCTCTGTAACTGTAAATATAGATTTCCTTAATTCAGAGACTGAAACTAGAATAATTTAAAGTACTACAACAGAATATTACTACTATGGTGAGACTTTCTAGAGACCAGGTAGATACAAAGGAAAAGGTAATTTTTATTCTATTCAGAACAGAGACATGGTGGGTTTGGTTTTGGGGGGTTGTTTTGTTTGTTTTTAAGGTTAAATAAAAGCAGACTTTCAAAACATCCTCTGGAAGGTAGCTGTATTTGCCCTTAACAAAGCAAGTCCAGTACATGTTGTAGTGAACAGACACCAACCTGAAGTCTAAAAGCTTTAGTTCTGCTCTGCTCTAGAGTCACAAGGAAGGTGTTCTCCTACCTCATCCTTCCAACTCAGAGATCCCACAGAAGCTGAACAAGACTAATTTTCACAGTAAGTGGGTCACGCACCTCTTTCTTCCATCACTGGCAGAAAGCAAACAATTCTAGAAAATTTACAAGAACTTTCAAGATGCAATAGTAGCTCCAACTAAAAGAAGGGAAAAGAAATCCAGCACAGACCCAGACAGCTCAGTTTAATGCTGTAAAATTACCTCCAAGGTATTTTAATTAGACACACTCAGGGTTCTTTACCAAAAAGAGACTTCTGAATGTTATTCTTCCTTTCATACTTAGGGAACCTGACTGAAACAGATTAAATAACTTGCACAAGGACACTCAAAGCCTATGTAATGTCTGATCTGGGTTCTACCTTCTGACTACTACTGCTGAGTCTTAACAACTCCCTCTTTCCTCTGCAAAGCTGCAGGCTTCAGCAAACAAAGCATTCCTTATAGCTAATTGGTATTACATGGAAACTCAACTGCTCTTATTTACAAAACTACAGATTTATGTCAAGCAAAGCCAATTATGCTTAATGTTTAAACTATTGCAGGTGCTCAATGACATTGTTGCTAGGCAGTAGAAGTGAAATTGCTCTTTTAATGCATCTTGTTCCAACTGGGAGCATGTGTTTTATCATCAGTGCAAACTTAACAGATGGAGATCTTAATCCTCTCCAGCGAGCTTTCTTCACCCTCCCTCACTCAAAATGGTGTCCCATGCATTTAGACTTAACTGAGGTGCTCAGTGAACTGTCTGGGACAGAACTTGCATTTTTTGTATATGCTTACATGAATACAATATGAAACACACACTTGACCCTTAAAAAAAAAAACTAAACCAAAAACTGTACCAGCAGTAATCAGCAATACATATGGCTATTCAAGGTAAATAATGACCTGCGCTGAGCACAGCACCTACTCAAATACTTATACCCAGAGCTGGTAGACAGCACAAAAGCAGCTTCTTTCAAAGTCAAGGCTGAGTCTACCAAGTCCTTTATAATAATTTCACTGTGTGCAGGGACAAGATTTAGAAAATTTAGGCAGTACTCAAACTATGAAACTGAACTGGGATGTTTCTGGTCACTCCTAGCCTCACTTAGGAGACAACTTTTTTCCACAATAAATTTCAAAACTATAATCCTTTATGGTGAGGATTAAAACATGCATATCTTAGATTTACTTTGTGCAAAGCAACATCAACAGGTAGCCTCAAACACAGGCAATCAGAGCTGAATGTTTTGTTATTTCCCACGAAAACTGCCATAGCTCAACAAACGGCTGAACAAAAAGAAGGCTATTCTAACATTTTCCAGCTGCTTATTGCGTTATTTCATATGCACACACATGTTATTTTTTCTGTCCCTTCATTTTTTCTAATGTGTTAAACCAGATGTGAAAAGCAGCTTCTTTCAAAGTCAAGACCAAACCTATAGAGTCCTTTATGTTAATTTCACTGTGTGCTGGTACAAGATTCATAAAATTTAGGCAGTGCTCTGAAAGTACAAAGGATTCCATCAACTTTATATGGAGCCCCAGATGCTGCAGTTCAAGAAGCATCCCCATCTGTTGGGTATAGCTGGCTAAATTGCTGTGTTATAACAGTGAGCATGATTGATAGACTTTTGCATATAGCTTCCTCTGCACCACCAGCTGAAATAAGTCAAAACCCAGAAATCAGTATCCCTTTTCTTTTGCCATCCATCCAAAAGGCCAATTTCTTACCTAAATCTGATAGAAGAAGCTTTCCTCTAGTCTATGTGAAGAAGGCAGAGAGTTTTCAGTAGTCAGCTATTCATCCCAAAGCCCATTCTAACCCACATCTTCCAGAGTAGCTCTTTGTGAAGGCTGCTCAACTGCTTCCTTCTCCATTGCTGAAATCCTTTCTTGCGTGAGTGCATGGCAGAGAGGTCCTGTCCAGGGAGTTAACTAATCCTCTTTTTCTTGCAGAAAGCTCTTCATCAGACAATTAAACTGCAATAGCTGCATTCTGTTCTTTGCTGTCATCTATTCTCACATTTTGATTTCTGAGAGAAAAAAAAAAAGGTTCTTGGGAAGCTTGAGGTCATTCAGCCTGAGCATGCACCAGAGGAAACACTTTTATCTTAAAAGAAAGCTAGGTTTCTTGTTCTCCGGTTCTTTATGTAAATGGTTCCAAACTGCTGTCATTTTTGGAGTAAAAAAAAAATATATATAATTATCATTAGGTGTTAAAAGGTCTCCAGCCCAATTATACTCACTGGCTCAAACCTTAGATTTTACCCTTTTCTTACATAGTTCTCCTTTTGTGTATAACTCTCAAATGCATTGACAGCAACCACATACCTCTTGTCAGCAGATTCCAGCCAGCATCTTTGCAGCTTTTCTGTGCCAAGACAAAGGTCAGGTCAAGTATTCAGGAATTTCTCACTTTTATTTATGGAAAGAAACTAGGAGTTTCCATGGCTTAAAGCTGGGTTTATTGCAATACAAGTACCATTTAGCAAATAATACCTTACAAGCAAATAACTGTCAGGTGGGATGGACAGATTTACTCCAGTATGTGGAAATTAGTCTGCCTCCCATTCTCTGGTACCCTTGGAGACTAGGTCCTTCAGCCTTTCACTGTCTCTCCCTCTCACAGCCCCAGCCCAGCTTATGCAGTCACTTTTGGAGAAAGACACTACCTCTTCCTGGCAGGGCAAGAGCCAGGGCAAGGCAAGCAGGCAGCCTTCCCCCCCACTTCTTACAGGGCAAACAGGCAGTTGTACACTCGGCGCTGCCATCAAGGCACGATGACGTCCCACACTAGTCAGAAAGCATATCTTGAAAAGGATGACCATTGCAGACGAACTTAAAGATATACTTACTTCTTCCGCCTCCACCGGTGTATCCTAGGATCACATTCTCTGTTACCGTGAAGGAAGATATTAAACAAGTTCCACAAAAAACTTGCTTCCAGGTGGGTACTTCCCCTTTCTACAGTATCTGTTGCCATCTGGGCTTTAACAGGTCTCTCAGCCACCTTGTAGTTCTTCTGCTGACCCTGATCTCCACCTTCACAAGTTATTTCCCATTGGACATATGTCAAATGCTTTACTAAAACCAAGGCAGATCATCTCTACTATGTTTTGTTTAGAAAATGAATTCTCATTGCACAAAGACATTAAGGTAGTCTGACAAAACCACTTTTGATATATCTATGTTGCATTTTATTCAATTTTCCTTTTATCTCATGACTTTAAATATTCTCTTTTAATTTAAAAAAAACCGCACAACTTAAATACTAGTGAGATCAAACTAACAGCTGCTGCCTGCCTGCCTTCCTACTTCTTAGATGCTTTTACTATGTTTTGCTCCCCTGTCCCGCAATGCCCAACCCAAAGTTACACCATTAAATATAGTTAACAGTGGAGAGGTAATTTCCTTTACCAGCTCTTTCATAGTTTCAGCTCACAAACTACCTTCTGTGTCACTTCAGTGCGCTGTATTTCTTTAACGTAGTTTCTCCTGTGGTAGAACATTCCTTGTATCTAGCAAGCATCCTGGCTTGACTACGACTTCCAATACAAACATCTTGATATCAAAGTGCTCCTTTCATTTTTGGGTTCAATATGTTTCCTTATCACATAAAGACTGTACTTCTATCCCCGCTCTTTTTAGTAATACGACTTAAAAAAAAAATTAAAATGTTAAGTGCTAGATTAGCATTGCTCACAATACCCAAGTCAGCCAATCTGGGGGGGTGTTTAACACTGTTTAGCTATTTAAAGTGGAATGCATTTTACTAATAATTTTTTCCCCCATTTCCAAGTGCATCTACCCTTTCCCAATCTTCTTTTCCAAATTCCCTTCACCCCCTTCAACTGGGCTATAATTAAGACTTTTGGTGTGAATAAATTCTAGTCTCCAGTTCTCCTACTAGCAATTTTCTGTATATCATCCTTTAGGAATGACAAATCTCACAGTGCTTCTGCCAAATAAAAGACTAGATGCCTCAGCATCAATGTGTCATGACATATTTTATGGACGTATTACTGGTATATAGTTTCTAGCATATTACTTGTAGATCTCAAAACAATTTGCAAAGAAGGTTAATATGGCTGTGTCCATTCTACTGATGGGGAAACTAAGGTAAAGAAGCAACCTGCTGAAGGCTGGGTAGCAGGTAAATAGCAGAGACAAGAATAGCACCCAAGTGTCCCACCTTTGCAAGTATCAACGAGCCAATACCAGACTCCAAAATTATTTGTAAATGATACTGTTGCAAAGTAATTCGCTAAACAAATGTATACATAGGTTTATTAATTTTGAACCACTACTCAGTACAAATACATGTGGATACCTATCCGTCTCCCTATAGAGATTAAAAGCCTGTCTCCAGCAACCATACCAAGAAGTGAGCTCTCATCGTCCTCAACGTGCATTGTGCCAGTGCAGCATCCTACAAGACCAAACCCTATGACAACTGCTATTTTGTAAATTTATAAATAACATTATTATTCCTTAGATAATTCATAAATACATTGGCAGTCCCACTTAAGCACACTAGGTAATTTATCATTAGAAAGCTGGTTGGCAGCACAATCAAAATTTAGTCAAACAAGGGTGAAATTTTATCAGGTTTTCTCTATAGGAGACAAAATGGGAGAACTTTACAGGACAGTATCATAATGCTTGATGGCTTTTTCATGCTTCAAAAGTTTTTCTTCAGGAAGACTTCCTCTGAATTCATTGGTGTATTCCTGATTCAGATTGTTGTATCTGGGAGGGCGGATAGGGAAGGAAAACACTAAAATAATTATCCTTTCTGGGATTAGATTCATCTATTGTTTATTAGGTAATATTTTGCAAGTTACAGTGCCTTCTGAGTCCTGGACAGTGATATATGCTTTCCTGGAACCTTTCAGAACTTCAGGATGAGAAGTGCCAAACAGGATGCAGGTGCTAATAATAACCGTACTGTGTCATTTTAACAAATTTAAAAAAGAAACAGGCTTTTTTCCTCAGAGAAATTTTAGTATATTTTTTCTAATTCAGCGTTTTAAAGCCTTATTTCCCCCCCACCCCTAAATCGGTGTTTATCTGAATAGTCCTCACCCTTTTTCCTCCCCTCTGGGAGAATTTTTATTCAGCACAAAATGAAACAATTACATTTGACTCAAAAAAAGATATTTCATGTAGGTTTTGGTTGTCTTATTGAAAAATGAGGTACCTTGATTTTGAAGTGAAATACCAATTTGAATTTTTTTATTTTTTTAAGAGTGGAGGTCAACAAATTTCCTCAGAAAAATATGTTAATTTGCGGCAAAATTATTCGTTGAGTTCAACCCCATTTTATGGCCTCTGTTTTGACAACCAAACCCTTTTTGTTTCAGCAGTAAATGTCACAAATGAAAATTTCATTTTACAGAAGAATAAAATCCCATTTTATAAAAGTACATACAGGAGAAATTTCTAATCATGACTTGGGGCACATTTAAAAGAAAAGAACCAAGAACTAGCCACCAGAATAAATGGACACTTGTGCCTCAGGTTACACTGAAATAATTGACAACACACTATTGTAATCTTCGGTGCTGTAAAGTTAGTGCTATATGTAATAGAAAAAGCAGTATTTTACTCAAGAGTTCTAGGACTACACTGCCTTTGGAAATTTTCTATTATTGTCATTATCAAATCACTACTTCATCAAGGTTTCTGAAAGATTTCCATAGAACTGCAGCCCCAAATTTCCATAGGACTAAGAGAATGCCACTCGCACGTGACCCTTTGCACTCATGGTGACACAGGTTGCTTCCCTCCCTGTTCTTGACTACAAGTATTACTTATAACACTGACAAGAGAAAGTTAACTATGATTAAATGTTCTGGAGCACAGGAGGCAGGCCACCTTTCAAACCATCCTGGATGTGATTGCAGCTGTGAGTTCCTTGCATTTTACAGGCAATATACAGGCATTAAACCTAGGCTCTATAGGTGGCATAAAATTGCTTCCTGGGGGGGGCTAACTGAGCAATTCCATTGTATCCAGCAGAAAGTTGCTTTTATCTCATTGCCCAGTAGGGTATCAGAAAATATTTCAGAGTTTTTCTGTTGAAACCACTGCATAGAGCATAGTAGCGGTCTGCTGTTTACTTGCAACCCCTTCACCTACTGTCCTATACTAAAGATGTAAGCTCGTTGAGACAACAGCAACATTTTCCATATACTGGTACAAAGCCAAACGCAGTGGAGGTGAGTTCCATGACTGACATACCTTGGTGCTGTGATCTAAACCCAATGTCAACATATTTATGTCCTTCCGTAAAGGATAGGATGCTGCTCTTTCTTCAAAGAATTTTTATATTGATAAGACCCCTTAAATATTTAAGGCTGATTACATGAGTCTTTTTTTTAACTCTACCACATAATTTTTACTGTGAAATCTCTCTCCTCAAGGCAGATCAAAAATACTAATGTCTGAACCCTGAATGATAACGTATGATCTATCACTACCAATTCTTTATTACACGCTAGTTTACAGGTTTTGCAATAATTTCTACCCATAACTACAAATGAAACATCAAGCTTTCATTTTCTCACACATACCTGTGTGCAATGGTCCAGAACCCCAGGGTGTTCACCATCATTAAGGAAGCCAAGAAGAAGAAGAATCTCTCCAATTTACCTTCATGCAGCAAGTGTGGAAACCAGTTGCCTGGCAAAGCAGACATTTGAAGCAGAATTAGTTTACTTTGCAAGATGAGACATGGCTCATATGAAAGACACGAAGATAACTTTGTGTAAGACACAATCACAGCAGGTGCTTTTACCAACCCCCC